ATCTTAAAAAAAAAAAAAAAATAATCCCACTATAAGAGCATCCCTCTCCAGAAAACTCATCTTAATACTCAGAGTTAGTCAACTTTCTTAATACTCAGAGTTAGCCACAACTTTTTTTTTTTTTTTTTTGGTTTTGTTTTTCGAGACAGTTTCTCTGTGTAGCCCTGGCTGTCCTGGAACTCTGTAGACAAGGCTAGCCTTGAACTCTCGAACTCAGAAATCCGCCTGCCTCTGCCTCCCAAGTGCTGGGATTAAAGGCGTGCACAATCGCCCGGCAAGCCACAACTTTCTATGTAAGATTGTGCTTGTGAGTTTACAATGCTGGGAATCAAAGGAAGGCTTTGCACATACCAGGTAAAGATTCTACCTTAGCCACATTTCCAAGACTGCTTTAAAAACAGTACCTACCTCCTTGGCCATGCTCATGTGCTACACCCTGCCTCTGACTGAGCTGATGTGACAGAACAAGAAGCTGTGCCTTCGGGGGAAAGACATTTTGACTGCTGGCATTTTACTCAAATAACATTACACATGAAGGAGGCATTATCCCACCGCAGAGTAAACTAAGTGTGAGACAGCGATGAAGGGAAGATCAGAAGGGACATTTAACTTCAGGTAAGCACTCTAGATGTCCACCATGGAATAATAATGAAAACGTACTGCTTATACACAGCGGAACTTTATTTGGCCATAAATACAATGAAATTAGTGGGATAATACATGGAATGTAGTATTAAATGAGGTAACACTGCCTCACCAAGACTAATACAATGCATTCTCACTAATATGCAGACCCTAGCCCGCAAGCGCTTGCTTGCTTGCATGTGAATGACTATGGGCTAAGACCAGAAAACTGGAAAGATGCCCACAGAGAGTTTGGGGCAAAAGAGGCTTTAGGAAATGAGTGGAGGGAACCTTCACATAGAGACACTAGAATTGAGTGTAGTTAAACCAGGTACCATTTTTTCTTCTTTTTTTTTTTTTTGCCAAGCAGTGGTGGTGCACACCTTCAATCCCAGCACTTGGGAGGCAGAGGCAGGTGGATTTCTGAGTTTGAGGCCAGCCTGGTCTACAGAGTGAGTTCCAGGACAGCCAGGGCTACACAGAGAAACCCTGTCTCGAAAAACAAAAAAACAAAAAAACAAAAAAACAAAAAAAAACAAAAAAAAAAAAACAAAAAAAAAAAAAAAAAAAAAAGGAAATGAGAGTGAAGGGTGGCAAAACTCATGATATGATCTATGGTCATGGAAAGAATATTGATAACAGAAAGGTTCAAGTGGAAGGGAGAAGGAATATGCGCAAGGGAGGAGAAACCAAAAATAAGTAGGCAAGAGATTAGATTTTATTATAACTGCAGTGGAAAGCAAGAGAAGGGTTTAAGCAACAGATTGACATGATCTTGCTTACTTTTCTAAAGGTGAAAATCAAGGGTGGTCATGTATGCATATTAGACAGAATTACATGTGACTACATAGACCCAGATGGTAAACAGACAGATTCAAGATATTCTTTGGTGTTGGACTGAATTAGACTGGCTGTTGGCTTATGACTTAGAGAAAAAAGTTCAAAAAAACTCTTAGATTTTTGGCTTTAGTAACCAGTGGATTTTAAGAGATGATACAGAAGTAGTCTGAGGGCTAACCAGTGGTTTCTCACACCTTTAATTCTAGCAGTCGGGATGCAGAGGCAGATCTGGGTTTGAGGCCAGCCACTACACAGAGAAACCCTGTCTCAAAAAATAACTAATACAGTGGTCTTAGGAGAACTGAAAGATTGAATTCTTTAATCTGCAATATGAAGATACAATAGTTTACAAAATACTATCTTGCCTTCAGAGTCTACACCTGAGGGGATCAGACAATCAGTAAGTTATCAATCAAATGGTAATATGATGATAAAGCACATTAAGTACGAATAATATATAAGCAGAGTTCTGAAGGGAACAGGAAGCAGCCATGAAGAGTTCTTAGCAATCTGTAACTTCAAAGTCTCTGAGGCAGGAATGTTCTTGGAAACCATTTTCTCCCTTAATAAATAAGGAAGAAAAATAACAAGAGATTAGGTCAGAAGAATTATATGCAGGATTTTTTGGCTCAAGACTGCAGCTTTTACCAGGTAGTGGTAGCACATGAAATTAGTCCCAGCACTTAGGAGGCAGAGGCAAGCATTCTCAGTGAGTTTCAGGCCTGCCTAGTCTCCAGAATAAATTCCAAAACAGTCTGGGCTACACAGACAAACCCAGTCTTGAAGAATCAAGGCTGGACGTGGTGGTGCATGTCTCTGCAGATTGATCTGAGTTCCAGGACAGCAAGGAATGTTACACAGAGAAACCCTGTCTCAAAACAAACAAAACAAAAACAATAACCAAAAAACAAAACAAAACAAGATTATAGCTTTCACTTTGAGTAAAACAAAACCATCAGAAAGTATGAACAGAAGAATGGAGTGGCATTACTCCTATAGCATGTTAATTACACTAACAAGAAGGGTATAGGAAGCAATAATCCTCTGATGGATTAGACTGTATAATGATGAAAGGATCAGATTTAGGCTAAACTTTGAAGAGATAGAATTTGATGATGAGATTAGAAGTAGTGGCTTACTGAGGATTGGAAGGGGTTTTTTTAATCTGAATAAAAGGAGGGTATTGCAATTTACTGTATTGAGATGATGTGAAATCACATTTATTAATTAATATAAAACTAGGAGTTCAGATTGTCATGTTAAAATAGTGATTACTATCACAAACAGGAGACAAAAAATGGAAAAGTCAAATACAGGTACTGGATAGCATGCTTGTCTGGGTTGGATATTCAAGACTGGCAGTCTTCAGCATCTAGATGGTATTAAAATTACAAGAATAAATCTAGGAAAATGTAGTTGCTAAATACTTCATAAGGCTCAACAATGAGACAGTTCCATCTCCTACCTGGTTTTCTTAAAACAAAACTGGTTTAATTTTTAGAGCTATAACGTCCTAAAATCATCAAGCTCATTCATAAAACAGCAATGAACTTAAAAAGTCGTTGTTATATCAATATTTTCAGAAGAAAAAGAAATTAGCCCCATTCATGCGCACAGGGATAATGGGAACAAACATCCCAAAATTTACATGTTACATAGTCTTGCTTACTGTATGTACAAGTCTCCTCAGTAATCAACCGGTAAAACTTGCATGGTTGTTGTAAAAAAATAAATGTTTCAGCCGGATGGTGGTGGAGCCCGCCTTTAATCCCGGCACTTGCGAGGCAGAGGTAGGCAGATTTCTGAGTTCGAGGCCAGCCTGGTCTACAGAGTGAGTTCCAGGACAGCCAGGGCTACACAGAGAAACCCTGTCTCGAAAAGCCAAAATAAAATAAAATAAAAAGTTTCAACTTTAGGACTAAAAAAATTGTCTTAGCTGGACATAGTAGGACACACCATAGAAGCACATACTTCCCAGAGCTCAGGAAGCAGAGGCAGGAGGATCTCTCTGAGTTCCAGGCCACCCTGATCTATATAGTGAGTTCCAAGGCACCCAGAGCTACATAGCTAGACTGTCTCAAACAAACAAACACACTAAAAATTTACTTATCTTATTATCGTTGAAACTGCACTGTTGCTGGACAGTGCTGGCGCATGCCTTTAATCCCAGCACTTGGGAGGCACAGACAGGCGGATTTTTGAGTTCGAGGCCAGCCTGGTCTACATAGTGAGTTCCAGGACATCCAGGGCTATACAGAGAAACCCTGTCTTGAAAAAAACAAAAACAAAAAAAACAAACGAAAAAAGAAACTACACTGTTGAAACAAAAGTTAGGAGACAAAGACTCTTCAGCTAAGCATTCATTTTTTAATTATCTTAATTCTAAAGAAAGCCAAAATATTTTCCTAAACGCAGTTCCTTTAAGAACTTCCAATTCAAAAACCACAGTCTCAAATCCCCAGTGACACAAAATCTTTGGGGTTACAGAAGGAAGTCAACCTCCTAGTCCTCACTGACACAGAGCTGTGTCCACCTGTGACACAGACAACCAGGGCTCAATCCCTCCTAACCAATTTAGTTCTCGGCAGATTCCTTCTGTAAAACGTATTTATGTCTGAATGAAAGAACAAGGACTCCTCTACACAGACTTCTCCAGAAGGACTGTATTTCCTTTTCCCCAGTACCCAAGAGGACCGCAGAGAAATTCTCTGGTGGGTGATGGGGAGCAGCAATAACCTACGTTCACCTGGCACCCACCCCCACCCGGCCGCTGAAAACAAAGCGCCGGCGCAGAGCACCTCCATTCTCTTTTCCACTCTCGCCGGGCTCCTGGGCCCGGACTAGGGTGTCCAGACTCCAGCCTCTGGTGGCTGGGCCAGAGGAAAGAGAGAAGCAGAAACAATAGGGCCGTGGCGGCCGCCGTACCTCTCCCGGTCGCGGCCGTCGAAATAGACGAAATCACCGCTCTGGACGCACTTGGCGCAAGTCAACCGCCGGCGAGTGGTGTTGCAGAGAGGACACCGCTCAACAGCCACGTAAAGCCCCTCGGCGTCGTCCACCGAGTCCACCAGGTCCCGTGCTAGCGCCCGCGGCCCAAAACCAGGCGCCTCGGGTGTCCAAGATCCCTTCCCACTGGGAGACGCCATGATGATCTGAGCGCAGGGCCAGTCACGTGGGATTTTGTTTTCATCCAGGTGCATCCTGGGCTCGGAGGCGGGGCCTGTAGGCCGGGGCGTGGTCTAGAGGCCGGGGCGGGAGAGGGGGCGGTCTAGAGGTTGGGGGCGGGGCCCGGGCCCAGAGGAATCTAGGCATGAAGGCTCTTCTCCTCCTTAAGGCACTCCGAGGCGGCTGCACAGTTCAGTCCATGGAGTGGAGCCAAGCGAAGACACTACGTTATGCAAAGTATAGTAATAAGTGCCCCAGGCATTCTCAGTAAAAGGTGCGGAAAACAGAACAAGGGAATTCATTTCATTCATTAAGGTTAATTTTAGGTTTTGGGCTAAAACTTCAAAAAGCAAGGTTGGGAGAGAGTTGGATCTCAGAACTAACTGAAGTTTGACTCACCTTCCTCCTTAATAGCTGTGGGATTTGAAGAAAATCCTTTAACGCCTCTAACCGACTTTGTCTTGGTTCGGGGATATAATTGCTGTACCTCCATAACCATAGAGGGTTGAGCAAAAACCTCCCGTAGCCGACTAACACTTCCCACGTCAGTAAAAAAACAAACTGAAGGTGTAAATCAAAGATGCATGTTTTTGAAATCAGGTTTCTATGTAGCCTCCATTTCCCTCGAGTTCCAATACTCCCGTGGCCACCTCGTGAGCTAATGGATTACAGGTACGTAATCACAGCCAGAAAACTGAATTCTATTGACTTGTGTCCTTCCCTACCCTCTGGGCCATGCTCTGAGAGAATTTGAACTCACTAGTCGTGATTTTCTCTTACAATTCTTCAGAAAAAGGAGTTTTATATCAGTTTTTATATGTCTCTAAACCACAGAAAGGAACAGAAGTGAGGTCCAGTTGGACCAATGATTCTCAAGGATGGCTTCATCAGGGTGTCCACCAATGAAACCTCTGAACTCTCTTTCTCCCAAATCACACTCCCAGCACTCAGAGCTGCCTCCTGGGTACCAACTGATGTTTTCTTCATACTCCATCTTGAGAATGAAGTCTGTCTTAGAAAGGACAGGGTCAGTAGCCATGTAGTGCCTAGAACCTGGGTTATAGGAGCCAGTTGCCTGTCAACTTTCCCGCGACTGTCATCAAATACTGGTGACTACAACCTGGCTAGATCTTTGCCTCTTCTCCAGAGTCTGTTTATATACAACTGGGATTAGAAAAGTAATAAAAAAAATCAAACTCCCTGTATCATTTTTCAAATAGTTTCCCCTAAACTTTAATGGTTTCTGAAAGTTTAAAATTTTAAAATAAACAATTTTATGTGGTCATTTCAAGGTGACCATATAAAATGTTGTATTTTAAGGTTTGGGACTGTGAGGGCTATTCCTAGTTGTCAACTTGACTACTTCTAGAATGAACTACAATTCAGAAATGGAGGGCACAGCTGTGATCCAGATCTTGAGGCATAGTGGCTGTGAAAAGCTTAGGCCCAGACATAGTAGTACATACATTTATTCCCAGGAGACAGAGGCAAGCAAATTTCTGAGTTCAAGGCCAGCCTGGGACAGAGCAAGTTCCAAGTAAAGAAAAGCTTAGGTCCAGGTGTGGTGGTACACACCTTTAATCTGGGTCATACCTTCTGCTGGAAGCCTACATAAGGACAATGGAAGAAATACCCAGCCTCATGAGACTGAGCAACTGCTAGACTCTTGAATTTCCCATTCACAGCTACTCATTGTTGGTTAGTTGGACTGTAGACTGTAAGACATTCCAATAAATTCCTTTAATATGTAAAGACATTCTCTCTAAGTTCTGTGACTTTAAAGAACCCTGAGTAAACAGAGATATTTCATTGGCTCTCCCAAGGTGACCTTCATAGTGTTTGTTACTACAGGCTTGTGATGATATCTCTTCTATACTTCAGAAGATAAAATATTATACACGAATTTTACTACAGCTGTGATACTACAGATAGTACCCAGATATGCAGTTACTTGAAATATCAATGTATTGCTGTCTTTAGAGAACACTTTTTAATGCATTACATGTTTACAAAACTAATCCATTTACTGTCTCAGTCTAGCAAAGCCTGAAATATTTCAGATTCTGAAATAAGTTCATGGCAGGGCAGTGGTGGCACACGCCTTTAATCCCAGCACTTGGGAATCAGAGACAGGTGAGTTTCTGAGTTCGAGGCCAGCCTTGTCTACAGAGTGAGTTCCAGGACAGCCAGGGCTACACAGAGAAACCCTGTCTCGATAAACAAACAAAACAAACAAACAAACAAATAAAAGAGCCTGGGGCAGAGTACATTCTTCAGTAAGTGTCATTTGAATACTGACTAGTGGTTTGGAAAAAACTTATCTTGCTCTACCAGTGGCTACCACTGGGCACTAGAGGTACAGGACAATTCCTTCACACAGAACATGCTCTAGACAAATTAAAAAGTCACTATTCTTTCTTAATACAATGTAAGACCTAAAAAAAAAAAAAGCAGCAAAGAATTGTAGGTTAGTATTATATCATGTGATATAAGGAGAGTGCCTTCCCAAGTGAGATGGTTTGTATATGCTTGGCCCAGGGAGTGGCACTATTAGGAGCTGTGGCCTTGCTGGAGTAGGTATGGCCCTGTTGGAGTAGGTGTGTGTGTCTCTGTGGGTGTAGGCTTTGATACCCTCATCCTAGTTTCGTGGAATCCAATCTTCTAGAAGCCTTCAGATGATGATGTAAAACTCTCTTTTTTTTTTTTTTGAGGCAGGGTTTCTCTGTATAGTCCTGGCTCTGCAGCCCCAAGCAGTCACTTCTTCCCCACCCCCAACCCCTTCCCTTCTCCCTCTCACTCTGGCCCCACTCGCTCCACCCCAAAGGTTTATTTATTTATTATATGTAAGTATACTGTAGCTGTCTTCAGACACCCCATAAGAGGGCATCAGATCCCATTACAGATGGTTGTGAGCCACCATGTGGTTGTTGGGAATTGAACTCAGGACCTCTGGAAGAGCAATCAGTGCTCTTAACCATTGAGCCAACTATTCAGCACCTAGCAATCACTTCTTAACTTGCCAAACAAGAATGTCAGTTATCCATGAGCATAACTGTTTCTGCCAGTTCCCAGGGAGGTTTCAGGAACTTAAAACTTTATTGGACCCCTATTCAAAATGGAAGTATTATTTGAAAAGGCTACTTATATTGGTGCAGGTATCTCTTTCGTGTTGAAGCCCCAGGGGCAATGTAGAGGGTGGTTCTGATGCTTTGATTGGGAATCTGTTTACTGATCCTGAAGGTCCTTGCCCTCAATTGGTTTTTGATCTATCAATAAAGTTGCTAATACCACAGGGCTGGACACTGAGAATTGAGTGTGTCCTTCCTCCAGCCTTGAGCAGGCCTGAGAGACCTTGTTTACCACAACAGACCAAGTGATAGGATCTAGGTGGAGTTACCTACCTTGGCTGCTTGGAATTTAGAAGAACTGCCCCTGGGGTTGCCTTGAGATATCTCCAGCTGTGACCCTGACCAAGAATGGATTATCCCACCCAAACAAGGAAAGGTTCGTGTGGGGTCTTTCCCTTTAAATTGAGAGCTGAACATTAAAGCATTGAGCCTTGATCACAGACCTTTGTCTTGGCTTTATCTCTTTTCGCCCTCTGTCCTCCTCCTTTTGCTCCCAGTCCCCTTTCAGGTGAACCCAGTTGATTCGTGGCCGCAGACAGCTACAGTTGAGCAGGAAGGACACAGGAGAATTGGGGAAGACAGAGAGAGAAGAAGGGGAGTAGCAGAGAAGATAAAGCCAACCAGCCAAGTGACTGGGCCTACGGCAGCAAAGGAAGATTTAGGAGTCATTGAGTTAGCAAAGGCATTTTGAGAATAATTGGTGTGTGTGTGTGTGTGTGTGTGTGTGTTTTCTGAGATAGCTCCTGAATGGGTGCATGAGTGTGTCCAGCCCGGAACACAAAGTGGTGTAATCAAAAAGTACACACAACAAGGCAAAACCCATAAAAGCCCAAACATAGGTGCAGGAGGTGCTGCTAGGAGGTTGGTTCAGATCCAAGCCTATTGTGGCTACTTATACAAAGCAATTCTTTTTTTTTGTTTTTTGTTTTGTTTTGTTTTGTTTTGTTTTGTTTTGTTTTGTTTCGAGACAGGGCTTCTCTGTGTAGCCCTGGCTGTCCTGGAACTCATTCTGTAGACCAGGCTAGCCTCAAACTCAGAGATCCGCCTGCCTCTGCCTCCCAAGTGCTGGGACTAAAGGCGTGCGCCACCACCGCCCGGCTACAAAGCAGTTCTAATTGACCTCTACTGTGATTGCTTCCCGAGAAGCATAAAACATAACAGACTATGCAATCAACTGAGGCATAAGAAAATTTCCTAGTAACAGCACATGAGAGAGTTTCTTTGTAACAGCGTAAGATGGCTGGCTACAGGCATAAAATAAAATGGCTGCAGTTATGTTAGGGGAGCAGGCCTCAAGATTCTTAGATCCTCAGTATGAGGGGTGGCAGGCTTCTGCCCATCAAAGTCAATGGGAGAATTAATCTCTACTGGGACTTACCAATAGTCTAGCTGGAAAGCTGGGATAGAGATGAAAAAAATCTTACAGAAACTGAAAACAAACAAGATCTGGCTCTATTCTTCCCACAATAACAAGGATGATCATTTTAAAATGTTGTTTTATACTTATTTTTAAAGTAACAGCTTCTTAAATTTCAGCTCTAAACGAGGTAGTGGTGGTGCATGCCTTTAAACCAGCACTAGGAGCCAGGCGGTGGTGGCGCACGCCTTTAATCCCAGCACTTGGGAGGCAGAGGCAGGCGAATTTCTGAGTTCGAGAGTTCGAGGCTAGCCTGGTCTACAGAGTGAGTTCCAGGACAGCCAGGGCTACACAGAGAAACCCTGTCTCGAAAAACCAAACCAAACCAAAAACAAAAACAAAAAAACCAGCACTAGGAAACAGGCAGGTGAATCTTTGAGTTTAAGGATAGCCTGGTCTGTGGAGTGAGTGCCAGGACAGTAAAGTCTATACAGAG